GGCCCTATAAATATAGATTACAAAGATAGAATATTCCTATAAAAGATGCTATACAATAATACTATATATGGTATATTCCTAATATATTCTAAAGCATATTCTAAAGTATATTCTAATATACTTTCACATAACTTATGACGGTTGCACGGTTGCAGTTTTAGTAATGTCTCATTATTCCTTCATAAGAAGGTTGCAAGTTGCAACTATGGTGTTTCTAGTGAACTCATAGTTGTTGACTAATTATAGATAATTAAATGATCCTAAGGATATCATGTCACTGACCTCAATACTTGGGTTTAAGGCGATGATGGATATTATGACAATTACAAACAACAACAACAACATCCAAGCCTTAGTCCCAAAAGATTTTGGGATTGGCTAACATGAACTGATACATGATATCTGGGCCAAAAAGGAAAAGAAAGATAAAAAGAAAAAGATAAGGTGTGATTAAATATACTAGTATAAAATAAAGATAAAGATAAATATAAGATAAAGATGAATATAAATAAAGATTATTACGACAATGACAATGATGGGGGAAAATCTTCTGATTGTAAATGACCGCCTAATTGAAGAAACTACTCTTCCTTCTTTGGACATGATTGCATCATGCTTATTCCCTATGAAAGGAGTGATCTATAAATGTACTGATTGACTGTTGCTGATTCTGAGCTGATTATCTACAGGTATGCTGATGCTGCAGCTATTCTTTTGAGATGGGCTTCGGCAGCTGATAAGTGTAATGCAACCCATAGCCAATGCAAGGTCAGGAGACTTTCTAAATTACATTAGTATGTGCAGAACACATTTTCCACACCTTTGTAGCATGAGAGTTTTATACCAATTTCATTGATTCTAGAATCACGGTCACACTCTTCATGTATTTCTCATTATTGCACTTCTGTGAATACATCAGTCACTTGTATTTAGTTTTACTTCTTCTTCATTACCCTAGTGCCGCAAAGGCTCCCACCTACAGGGGGTAAGGGGGGGGTCAGATGTACGCAGTCTTAGTCTTACCCCTGTACCAAAGCATAGAGAGACTGTTTCCGGATGACTCAAAGTGAAAATTGCTTCAAAAATTGCATGGACGGACTGCTGCTTCATAATAAAGAAGCGCAGACAGTTTAGTGAGTCATTTTGCTTTATTTCATCATATTCCCAAGCCAAAAAAACAAGGTTTTTAAAATCTCGATTTAAATCGTAAAATCGTAAAATCGTACGATTTTACGATTCTACATTAATAAAGCGATTCAAATCGCAGGTAAAATCGTAAAATCATAAAATCGTACAAAATCGTAAAAAAATTCGTCCTAAAATCGTGTAGAATCGTATAAAATCGTAGCAAAATCGTAATAAGTTGTTTTTGGTGAAAATGGTTCAAATTTATTAAAATTAACAACTACAAATTGATACATAATTCCAATAATAATAATATGAATAGTTTATTTATAAAAGTAATGGATTCTTGTGTTACTTAATTATTTTTATGTTTTACATATGTTTAATGTTATTATTCAATACATTTACATTATAAAAACAGTTTATAAATCTTGCTTTTGACATTTTAGGTATAGTTTTATGTAATGAAATGATATAATATCATTAACTTGCAACTTAATTTTAATATTTATTTATTTATAATGAAATGATGTTTGGTAAAACATCTACCGATTCGATTCAAAAATACGATTTTAACAACCTTGCAAAAAAATAGTGAGTCTTTGGCTCCATTACAAATGATGGAATACTTGTATTTAGTTTTACTAATTAACTTATTTTATTCAGTGCACTATGTTGACGTATTTGTACTACACCGGCTAAATATGAAAATGAAAATAACATAAAAGATTCCTCCAAGTTACTTCTTTCATGTTTACCTATTAAAATGAAATCTCAAGTATTGATATAGCATCCATTTGTAGTTTGTTTTTTTGGAACCCATGTTTTGAGGTAACCTGCTTTTAGCCTATTTATCCACCTCAAGTTGTCGATCCTGGTTAGGATTGAAGGGTCATATTAAAATATTTGTCCCACATCGGGTAAATATAAAATCCCCATATAAAATCATAGGCTACCTCTGAAGTCTTGATACACTCTAGCACTAACGCAAACACAGTTTTAGGATCACATAGACTTTTTCTTACAATTCTATTTATTTGGTGTAGGCATACCTCAGTGCAATTATTGTCCACTTATACGCTCATGACTTCAAGGAAGCTGAGAAGTGCTTTAATGATTGTTGTCAGTAAGTTTCAAGCTTGGCATGTATAACTGTATTTCTTAATTATTTGAATTTAATTACTATTTTAGGTTTGAAACTGGGAACAAGAAGCTGTGAGCACATGAGTTCATCAATAATGTGATTTCAAGGGAGTCCAATTATTTCTATAAAACCCTTCATACTGAATTACTGTCAGTATACAGACACACAGAAAGAAAAGAAAAAAGGCATGGGCTTTTAAAGCCCATTTTCTAATAGCGTGTTTGGGTTGGGGAAGGGGGTCAGTAAAGGTATGGAGGAAAGTAAATTATAGAGGACTGTACTGGGGTGGGCAATTAATTCTGTTTGGACTTTGGAAGCTTAGTCAAGGAGACTACTAGAGAGAATTATATAGGATTATGAAGTTTTTTCTGTTTAGATTGCAAAGGTGGAGGGAAAGTAATATACTACCTCCATCCCGGTTTAAGGTCATTCAGACACTAATTAGATAAGGTAATTTGAGTTTTTTTTAAATACTCAAGCCCATGTGTATTATAGATGTATCATTTTTAATATTTGATGATTAAATTATCATTTAAGAGTGCTAATTGTTTCCTAAATTAGAAATGAGAACCTTTAGCTGGGACAATAATTGAAGGGAATGAAGAACTACCGATTTAGTTCCTCTTCCATTTACTCTCTAACTAAACAAAACAGTAGACAAGTCCCCCCCCCCCCCAAATCCAAAACAAGTCTGAAATCATACAGATTGGGGTAATTTTATAACAAGACCAAAATCATTTGTAACACACGGCATTTCTATTTTCCTTTTCAGGATTGAAGCATTTTCAAATAGTGATCAAGGACAACGTGCCTCTGAGCTCCTTTCTGCATACATTGAAGGAGATGAAGAAAAAATCAAGCGAATTGGTCAATCGAGTATAGTTTCACATCTTGATAACTCGGTAATTTTTAACCTTCTAAGCTTTATAAATAAATAAATAAATAAATAAATAAATAAATAAATAAATAAATAAATAAATAAATAAATAAATAAATAAATAAATAAATAAATAAATAAATAAATAAATAAATAAATAAATAAATAAATAAATAAATAAATGGATGGATGGGTGGGTGGGTAGGTGATGAATATAAATTAATTTTTGTTTTTCCAATTCGTAATTTTAATATTTTTAATCAATGGCAGATATTGACAATATGACATTTTAGTAATTATTTTAGGATACTTGCAAAGAGTTCCATTTGCATTTAGGATAATTACAAGTATGTCACTTTATTAGTGCAAGTCACTGATTAAAAATATGAAGGGTAAAAGATCAAAGGGTTTGTATAAAGATGGTCTCATAAATTGGCTCTCATAAGACCCCCCCTCCACCTATAGCATAGGTACAATTGGGGTGAGATGAAACTTCCTATGCAAATTCTGCACTTGTGGCTCATTGTGTTTGAGCAATGTGCTGTTTGCATTGGCAATAAAAGTTAGCCAGTTTTTGGTTGCTTTTAATGCTATTTTTGCATATCTTAAACCAATCTCATTTGTGTTTTCATTTTAACATAGTTGAAATGATGAACCATATTGGCACTGTATGCAGATCATTAAGCTCGCAAGGAAACTACCCACTGGAGATGTTAGTTCTTTCAAAAACACTGTGGCGAACAAGGATGAAGAGCCACTTGATGAGGATGATCTATCCTAGTCTCAGTCATTGGTGTGCCATTACATGGATTGTTTTATTGTTTTGGGTGCATGAATATTGTGATTGAAATGAAATGATCAAGCACTTCATAGTTAAAGTCTTGTGAACTCTACATATTTGCATCCTTCTGTATGATGTTTAGTAGTTCTTATGATCTACTTAGGATAATAAGACTGGGATTTTACTTCCCAGATTTTTTAAATGAAAGGATCACAAGGGCCTCAGGCCTCGGGTCATGTACAAACTTCTTGTTTATAAACGTAAATTTTTATATATAACTTCTATAAATGATGTCTTCAAGCTAACTTTTTGCAAAAAGTAGAACAGAAAAGCAAAATGCAGACTCGAATCGGAAAACCCGAAATGCAGCAATTGTCACTTGGACAATTTAGGACAAACAGGTAAATTTTAAAAAGATAAGGATATATTGATAGATATGTTTTCAAACATATGTGCACATGTTATTCAAATATATTTTGCTTAGTTTTTCATATGCCTTAATAATTAATGACAAAAGTAGTTTGGATTATCAAATATATAATTTCTTTCATATTACTTTATTTGAACTATGTACAAATGCAATAAATTTTTCATCATGCAGTGACCATTGCCGTGTATTTTGATAGAGCGTATGGTAGTTATGGTACTATGGTAGCATGGTATGGTGTATATGCAATTCTACCTCTATGGCTCTATCCCTAAAAGTTTAATCACTAACGACTAACGTTGAACCTTCAACGGTGATTTTGGTTAATATTTTTGTGAAAGTTATCATCCTTTCATAAAATGGAGTATAGTTTTATAAAAGTTATAAATTTTATACTTTTGTGAGAATACAAATATCCTATGAGTGAAAGCTTAACATTTTTGATAAAAAAGGTCAAAGACAACTAAGTTTTAGCGAAAAGTGTCACGACTCATGCCCCAAACGAACACAAAGACATGGCGACCGCCACACAACCCATCAAAAGTATAAGCATACTCAAGCCTCTTGTGTATATCAATGGCACTAAATGTATCTATAAAAGGTAAAGCATTAAATAATAATACTCTAGCATTAAATACTACTCCGTAGAACATAGAAATTGCAAAAATGCTACAGGTGGTACAGTGTAATTTACACTCAAGAACTAAGGATGTGATGTTAAGCCTTCAATTAAGCAAAAGGTCATTTTCTGGACAGAGTAACAGGTTAAAACAATGGTGAGTTAATATATATTTACAAAGCTAAAAAATCAAAAAATTGGGCAAAATCAAAATTCAGAAAAACAAGATTAACCAAAAGTATGAAGTCAACCACTAGGTCGTATTGTTGTATGCAGTCTTGACTACAACAGATATAGGAATATTCACAGCATGACCGTGATTCCCAAACATCCCAATCCTCCCAAAACTCGGGCTGCTATGGTTCATCTTAGCATTAAAGGATACCGTCAAGTTCAAACTCTCACCCAGTCCGATATGAAATCGGCTTGGTGTCACCTTCACTGATGCCCCATACGGTTCGCTCCACTGAACAACGTAAGTTTCATTGTCACCAATATTAGTCACGGTCCGTTGGATTAGTCTTGATTGGTTGAGATGTGCAATTGTAATAGAAGGCAAGTTTAGGTCTATGGCACTCATGTTGGACGACCCACAACTTTCACCAGTGTAGTTCAGAACCACTGGGGATGATCCATTGATACCGCACAGAAATGACATGAAGTCATTGTAGCCTACAAGGATGGATTATTTATATTTTAGTAAAACAACAGGTGTACACTTCAATATTGTCATTTTTATCAGCCATAAAGAGCGTGAACACTTTACTTTGCATGAAATACTATGCTCCCCATCCCTACTTGGGCTAAGCTTGTTGACAGAAAATATCTTCCAGCTTTCTTGTGTTTCAAATAGGAAAACATTTTCCTTTGTTAAGATTTATGTGGAAAATGACTTCCCATTTCAGTCATTTTCCTAAAACAGTTTTTTTGTTTACTATTATATTGACCTCAGTCACCAAACATCATATTACACATAGCACAACGTATTTTCTATTGAGAAAAATTGCTTTCGTGGGAAACATTTCCTTGGAAAACATTTTCCACAAGTTAGTTGTTTGGAAAGAGATGGCGCCTTAAGTTCGTACTGCTAAGTTTGTTATGTCTAGCATCTTCTAAAAGAGCATCTCCAGTTTTAGATATCTGACTGTGAAAACAAATGGAGCCCCAAGTTCATCTCACTAAGTTTGACATGTCTACCATTCTCTAAAACAAATTTTCCACTTTTAGTTTTCTGACTATTGTGATAATTACACGTCTGATACCATCCTTTGAATAATTTCATTTTTACTTTTTGAAGTACCTCTGTGAGTCTGATAGATATACTTTTGTACCTATACTTCGGGCCTGTCTTTCAATGTTTTTCATTTCTAGTCCGACTATTGTGATGTTGACACTTTTGGCACTAGTCTCTGAATTTTGTCACTATAGTTGGAGGACCAAAGTTGTGATTATCTATCACAGTAGGAGTATGGGCAAGAAACATTGCCGCCAGAATAGTCAGAGGACTAAACGTGGAATTTCGACAGTAGTTAGATGACTAAAAGTAGTGGGGGATCTAAAAGGAACTGTTAACTTTATCTCAAGTAGTTTAACTTCATTAATTCTGTTATGCAAAAGCAGGGCACTAAGAATATAAAGATAAAATCACAAAGAACATACGAATGCTACAACTTTTAAACCACCAACTACTAGTATACGAAAAGGACTCACTTGAATAGAATATGAGGCCAGGATCCAAAGCAGCAGTAGCATTCACAAAACCACTCCCCATATCGAACGGTGTTGCAGGAGATTGGTTAGAGTCTGGATTAGAATATGCTCGTTGGGCTTGTATGGGGCCTCCACTTTTGTCATACACAGATGCCGATGTCGAAAGTGCAGATCCTATAGCTGCAGGAGTGAACAACGGAAACTTCTGCTTAATCAGAGCAGCTAAACCAGCAACATGTGGAGCAGCCATGCTTGTACCAGACATCATTGCAAAGTTCTCTCCTGTTAAGTGTTTACACTGCTGTCAGTTAAGAGTATGAGACAGCATGGCCTTAGATTTTGTTTGGAACCGCAAAATATTAGAAAAAGAAAATAGAGAGGCAGACATGGAGAAAAATGGGGAGGAAAGGACATTGATTCTACATCTTGAAAACCAAGCAAATTTCGGGATGCAAGGGAAAAAAAGACATGCTAAAACTCAACAAATTCATTTTGCAAATTTGTTGATACTCATTTTATTTGTTTATGTCTATTGTACAAAGACAGGAACCTAGATATATGTAAAATAAAATGGTTTAAAAGCTAATCACATCCCATTTTCCTTTAGTTTGTTGAAGTAAAGCCAAACATACAAAAATAAATGTCCGTGGCATTTTAATCCCTTCCCCAACATTTCAGAGATTCGAACATAGCCTTAATTAAGTCTACCTAGAAACTCTGCAGAGTCAGTTCCGCCAGAGCTCCAAGCTGCCCATATTGAATTTCCAGGAGCAACGACGTTTGGTTTTAGGATTTCTGCATCAGTGAGAGAATTATCCTCTGGGTCTGGCCCACGGGCAGAATAAAACATAACCTTTGGAGCGGACAAGCTGAAATTTGCTATGATCCCCCCTGAAATGGAGGCAACTGCCCCAAACTTGACGATTTTGTTGGTAATTTCATCCCTCAAGAGAGAGGAGTTGTAGTACTTCAGAAAAATCTGACATACAGAGTTAAATTAACACACGTTATGCTACCAAATGCAAAAAAGTTGAATCGGTCCCTCTCACAAGCAATCAGTATGGGTATGTTTGGATCCAGTACAGTTGAATCGGTCCCTCTCACAAGCAATCAGTATGGGTATGAAGGGAACCAGTAAAATGCTAGGTAAAGTAAAGAAGTGGCTAAGAACAGTTACTTTTTTGCATTTGGTTTTACCTCAGAAAATGAAAAATAGAACGGAATGTATACTACCTCAGTCCCACTAAAATTGGGACATGAGGTACCATGATTATTAAATAAAGTGAAATTACGTTTTTGGTATTGAATTTTTGTAAAGAACAAATAAAGTAAGGATATACTCCGTAGTAGAAACACTCAAATTTACCCAATATGGTATGGACAATTTAAGCTAGAATGACGAAAAAGATGGGACAAAGATAGTGCAACAAATATATTGTATAAATATTTACATGTGCTTGAATTTTTCACTCTATATAAAAAATAAATCAATGAAATGTGATTGAACAAATATCAGAAATATATTTATTGATTTTGAACAAACTTTTCTTTTCTCACATTTATTATTTTCTTCCATATCTTCCTTATACTTTCCTTGTTTGCTTTCTCTAGCATTTCTCGAATTCCAAAAAGACCCTATAAAGATCAGTTCTGAAAAGCAACAAGTGTTTACCTTAGAATCATTTGTAGACGGAATGATTATGCCGGGCAATCTCATTGGTACGGGATTTAATTGGAAACCTATGACAAAAGGATCCATATAAAAGACTACACCAGCAGCACTAAGGTTGTTGGCAGTTTCTAAGGCCAGTTTGATGGTGGAAAGTCCGAGAACAAACCGGATAGAGTAGCTGCATATCAAAAGATTCCCTTGAACAAGAGTCTGGTTGAAATTACTAGAATCTTGGCATTCGCTCATATACATATCATCTGAAGCTCTTGTATCATTCAAAGCATCAACTGCAGAAACCAGTGTGTACATTGTATTTGGATTTGTCCCAGCTGGCACACAACAAAACATTTAGTAAGGGACAAATTAATCAGTTTACCAAACACAAATAAAATCCATATATTTTAAAAAAACATACGTGCAAGACCAACTCCAGAGATGGTGAGATTGTTCCCAAGAAGGATAGAGTTAGAGTAGATGCGATCATGGCTGGAAGCACCAACAGTAAAGATCCAAGGGCTGAAGGAGGAAATGCTTTTTGGTGATGGTCCAGTATTCCCCGCTGCTTGCACTACAAATATACCGACCTTTACAGCTGAAAGCAAGGCCATGTCTATAGGGTTAAAGAACGTTGCTATTCCAGGAGGACGTCTGTTTGGAGTGATTGACAAACTTATTATGTCTACTCCATCCTGAGCTGCCTGTAAATCCACAACATTGTTATAGACGACTTTTTAAAGTACTCTATGAGACAACGACTACTTAGAGCATGGAAGCACTTTCAGACTAAAAGAGGAGTCTAGTAGGCCTGTATGATAGGGGCTGAAAATGTGTAAAAAAGAAACAAGTGTTGGGACTAGTTAACCAGCCATACGAAATTACTATTTTACCCTTATTTTAATCAATTAATGAATATTTCCTCACTTCTTTAACAGGGGCTGCTTTGTTAGAGGAGAAAAAAAGTGTCCTCGTGTAAGTGACCAAGTGTCAATTTTTACTTTGAGAAAGTATTAATTGCTTGTTTTCTACTGTTGCCCCTCAACATCTTTGAATGATCCATGGTACTCTCTATGAGTCTTTATTGTACGGGTTATGCAGTCATGTTATTGTATATTTATCTTGAATTTAGGAAGTTTTATTGTGTCCTTAAAAGTGTAAGGGTCTAAAGCAACACTTGCTTGAGATCAAAGGGATTAAGGGAGTAGGTGTCCCTCCATGTGGCAACATGCGGTGTCCCTCCACCATTACACCAATGAGCATATGGTACACGACACGAGTGAAAATTTAAAGTTTTGGTGGACGGTCATGGAGGTTTTCTATTGGCTTATATGGCCAACCCTGGATGATATGGGAATAAGGCTTGGTTCTTGTTGTAAAGAACTGAAGCGTATTTATTACTACCTCCGTCCCGCCTAAAGGTTTCCATTGCAAAAATGCACAATTATTTAGACAATAATTAATTAAGGAAATTCGAGTATATTTTGAGAAATAGTTTTGATGATTATTATATAATATAATGGGCTCATTGATGATAATTGTGATGTTATAGATGTATTCTTTTTAATACTTGATGATTAAATTGTCATTTAAGAGTGTTAATTGTTTCCTAAAATAGAAATGGGAACCTTTAACTCAGACGTCCATAAAAGGAAAGTAAGAACCTTATCTGGGACTGAGGGAGTAACACATAAGAAGCAAATATGAGCAATTGTGTGTCTTTAACTCACCAAGTAATCTCATAGCGATTGAATACCAACTATCTTTTTCCCTTAAAAGGAAATGCCTAGTTTTCTTTGAATTGAAATAAAAAATTGAAAATAAATAAATACAGAGGGCATCGAAATGATGAGAGCACCTGGTCAATTGCGGCAACTACATCCGCAGCAAAGCCACCAAAACTCTTGTACAATGACTTGTATACAGCAATGCTAAAAAACATTTGATCCAGTCAATATCGTATTAAAATACAAACTTAAAGAACCATATAAAATACAGTAATTTCAACTATCACAAACTACAATAAATATCCTTTTAAGTAAACAAGCATCTTACCCACATTAACAATTAATAAGAATTTCCCGATTGGAGCTATCAAAAATCCATGCATAAGTTTAAACTTTATAGTCTAATGTTAGTCACACGAAATGGTAGTCACTGAATCTCTCTTAGGACCACACAAAATGGTAGTCACTCGGTTCTTTATTACTGTCACATATTCCTTCTTGGGAAGTCTTTTATTATTCGTCTACCTTTCCCGTTTAAGTAAGTTTTTCCTATAAACATACCTTAATACCCTCACTTCTTTTACTGTTTGCAGACTACTTTTCTTTCCTGCTTTTTCATTGATTTTTTCCTTCACTCATTTAATTACTTTTTTTTATTACATTCTCTTTCTTGCATTTTCATTAGTTTTCTCATCCACTAACTTAATTACTTTTCTGAACACATGCTCTCTCCAACTTTTTTATTTAAAACACAAACCCCTACCACACTCTATATTAACTCTACTATTTTCTCCTTAAAACTGTGAATAAACTAAAAGGACACTTAATAAAGAATGGAGGGCGTATTTATAAACCCTAATTAGATTGTATAAGAAAACTGGTTCAGCACTAGCACCCTCATTTTTTCATTTTCCAGTAAACTGATCATTTTGCATGTGTGCATAGACAAAGGGAACTAAAAGAAGGAAGACATGCCATATATCGATCATAATATCACATCATCACACTCTACACACATATCATCTATATCTACTAATGTAAAATAAGAGACGAACAACGTTATTGTATGTCTTACTGTGAGCGAGGAGACATTCCACTGGCATTACCAAAATTCTGCCCAGCTACAACCACAGGGATCCCATGGTTCCCTGCTGCAATAGAAGCTGTATGCCTGAAAGAACGTTCAAAATGAGTATTAAAAAAAATTCTTGTAAAATTAGTCATGAATATACAGAGTGTCAATCGAAACAATGAAAAAGTACCCACATTGAACTTAAGTGGAGTAATTACTGTAGTAAGATCTAGTCTGATGGTGTTTATAGGTGGTGCCATAATGGTGTCATCTTTCTTAAGCAGTTTAAGCACAATAAAGAAATCCAGCAAGTTCCAATAAATTACACTTATGAGCATGCCAAATTTGTCAATTAGGCCATCCTTTTGCAGTTTCACTGCCTCATATACTTGGTATGTAATAATGTATATACACAGCAAATTTTATTATAATCTTGAGTCATTTACTTGTGTTACACTATGCATGCTTATGCTCACGTATAAAATAGACACTGAAAATTTTCTGGTCAAATTAACAAATTTTGTTATTAAAGAGTGTTAAGCAGGTTCATGAAGCCAACATTCACGAAGGGCCCCACCTGACTTGGTAGAATTTTCCATTACATAATCCCTTCTTTTTCAACAGCAAATGTCAGAAGTTCTATTAGCAAATAATTTGTCTTGATAATAATCTAATGCTGGCATAGAATTAGGGATTCTTTGAGAAAAGAGATATTCCTTCTGTATACAATGTTCTTCCCCTCAGAGTTTTGTATCAATTTTTAGGAGTGCGGCCAAGCCATGTGGAAAGACTAAAGAGTGAGCATAGTGCAAAAGTTAAGACAAAGGGAGGAAGTTAATGGTAACAGTTTACTTGCAATAAGAAAATGGGAAGTTTTTATGGAGAGTAACAAGAAAGTGGGGGGGAATACATGTTTAGCCAATAATCTTTCAGGATCAAAACTAATGTGAGCATCAAATTAGTCAATAAAGGTATCATTAAGAAACAAAAGAGATACTCACGTCCCATGGCCATCGCCATCAAATGGCGAAGCATAGTCCTGAGTTGCATTAAATATGCCTCTAGTTATAGCAGAGGCAGCAAAATGGCGGGCACCAACCAGCTTTCTGTTACAGGATCCAGATGGGAAATCCCGGGTGACCTCACAAATGCCTGAAAAGTGATCCGGAACTGGATATGGATTTTCGGGTGTATTGTCAGAGAAGCTTGGGTGTGTCGGATCAATTCCAGTATCCACAAATCCAATAACAACTCCTTCTCCAGCAGTTACATGCCCACCCTCCTGGGCCCATGCCCCGTTTGGTAAACCCAGGAATTGAGGTGTGTAAGTGGTAGCTGTCCTGACAGAGAAATCCAAAATCACATTTGACACTTCTCTCCTTCTCAACAGTCTATCGGCCTTCAAGAAACAAACAATTGAAACAAATAGGTAAAGAACGATATGTTACAGGGAAAAAAATATGTAAAGGAATATACATTTTGTATGAATGATATTTTTGAAGTATGGAACAACATATGACATACCTGTCGGGGAGTCACAAGCACAGCAAAACCATTGATCAAGTAGTGGTAGCTATAGAGCTTCATATACTTTTCTCCTTTGAATACCTTGCTCAACAAAGAGTCATGCATTCTAACAGTGTGAGAACCATGGCTCCATCTACTTGAAACATTGCTGATTCAAACAGAAACATCAATTAAAAGCATAAGCATCCGGTGAAATCCTCATCTATTCACTAGTTAAAAGTGAAAAAGATAAAATAAAATGATAAACAAAACAAAACGAATATTAGCTCCGAATTTCCTAGTGTAAACTGAACTAGTCCAAAACCCCAAATCTCTGCAAACTCAAGTACCCTTTTGCATAAACAAAACAAAAAACAGGTCCCTATCAAACTAGTGTAACGGAAGCATTTTAAAACATAAAGAGAAAAAGATAGACCAAGCATTCAAACAGTCCCGGCATAACGCATTCTACACATCAACTCAATAAAGTGAAGAATTTGTCCATCTTTAGTACTCCCTCCGTCCCAAAATTATCTTCATAGTTACTATTCACATGGTCAACTCAAATTACTCTTAATCTTTTACTTTATATATCAAATTTTTATCAAACTTAAATTTTCTTGATCAGGCTTTGTAGCGGTTTTAATGTAGTTTCTGAATATGTAAATTTTATTTACTAAAAATAATCCGAATGTGAACAGGGATCGAATTGCTTTATCGTCAGTCAAGCATCGTAAACCGAACTATGAAGATAAATATGGGACGGAGGTAGTATGTGGGTGGCATAGTCTAAAAATTCCAAAAGATAAGAAAGAAACTAAGAAAAAGCAGTACCCTTTTCAAAAAGGGTAAACCAAAAAGATAAAGACAAAATCATAAACCAAACACCCAAATGAAAGGAAAAAACGGTCAAAATAGCTAACCACAATCATGCAATAATCTCAGAAACATTTTGAAAAAGAAAAAGATACAACAAGAGGGTAGTACCTAGGCTTGATTAATCTCTTAGATTTAAATGATGTACCACCACCGCTGAGCTCGCTGGAGAAAATAGGGTCAACAAGAGAAGTAGAAGCTTGTTTCAGAGTCACAATGTACACTCCACCTTCAGTATCTGCAGCCGCAACATTCTGTTGACCCCAAACGCGACCCATAGAAATACCCACATACAGTGCTACTATAATTATAAAATAGCACTTAATGCCGAACCCATTCTCCATTATCTGCATGTAAAAGAACACAATAGGCTTTCTGGTTTTCAATAACAAGAACACCAACTTGCGGACTGCGGAGCCGAGAAAATCCAACTGAAAAGAGAGGATTTTTGTTCTTCAAGAAATATTACCAATTCGCAGGATCTAAAAATTCAGCTCAAATAAGACAAACAATGAGAAATAATCCCTGAGGTTTTCAAGAGCTACCCATTTGCAGAAGAGGCTGTGCATATGGTTTAGTTTCAGTACAGAGGCAAATGAAAGTGTTTTTAAGTACAGTCTCTTCCGCTACAGCTGTAAAGACAAAGCTCTTAAACTATCCACCATTTACTACAGGTGCACTAAAGTAAGCTAAAGCAGCGGAGTTAATTATAAAGAGAAGAATCCTGTGAAGTTAAGTGATCCAACGGCCATTTCAATACAGTATTGCACTTGCGGAGTATTTCTTAATTGGAGTGCTTTATGCCTTTTTAAAGTGGAGAAGTTGGAGTGTTTGTGTGAAATTCTCGAAGCACTTCTGGTGCTCTAATTTATTCTCAGAATCAGTTTTTTTAGAAGCTGTGGGTACCGGCTTCTGAAAACTGATTCTGTTACTGCTTTAAAAAAGAAGCAGAAACATAATCAGTTCCAAACACCCTAACACTTTTATCTTGATCAAATGATCCATACTAGTTCCATAATCCCTATTACCTTAGAGATTGCATCAATTTTGCGCCAGGGTATTGTGTAATTATAATTAAAATAATTAATATTCGAGTTATTTTTTTATTGAAATCGTTAACTTTACTTATGATTATTTTAGATATTTTTATCTAATTTTTCTTTGTTTTATTGATAAAATATAATTTACTCGTAAATATTTAGCCGTTTCAACATAATTTCATTACTTTCAATCTATTCAGCTAACATTAATGTTATCAAATACTCACTTCGTCCTGTAAAGAAGTTCCTGTTCAGTTTATGATGTTTGACTGATGATAAAACAATTTGATCCCTTTTCACACTGGATTTTTTTTAGTAAATAATATTTACATATTGAGAAATTACATTAAAACCGTTACAAAGCCTGATCAAGAAAATTTAAATTTGATAAAAGTTTGATATATAAAGTAAAAGATTAGGAGCCCGTTTGGTAACACTGAAATCAGCTGAATCGGTTGATCTTACTAAAACTTATAAAGTATTGGGTTAACTAGCTGTATTGCCTGATTTTTCTGATACATGAAAAACTTAAATTTAAAATATACTATGTATTTTATTAATAAAATAAAGAAAAATTATATGTAAAAATAGTTAAAATAGTCATCTACAGTAACTTCAGCTGAACCAACAAGAAAAGTAACTTCGACCTTACTTTTTTTTTATTATTACACATTTCAGCGCGCGAAATCAATAATTACGTGTTTGGTGAAAAAGTTGACTGATAAGCATGATAAGCCTAATAATAGTGTTAGCAAACAGGCTCTAGAATTGATTTAAGTTGACCAATAAATAGTGATTATGAACTTCATTTCAGGACGGAGATAGTAAATTCCAAACTTTTTATCTAATGTTTTAAAATTCGTATTTTGAGAAATGCTATTAAACTTTTGAAACAAAAAAGGTGAAATGCAAGTCTTTTTATACATTTTATTGATAATCAACTACATATCCGTCATTATCAAATGTGAAAATGAATAGTTATACCCCTAGTATTTAAATATAAATGGAATTTTCTAGCATCAAATCCATCAAATTCTTTTCATTTTGGTCTGATTTAGTATGATGAGTTTAAGTTTGGACTGGTTAATGTGTGATGTACGTGCATTTTGTTATTTTCTAAATCTGGTCTGATTTAACCTTATTTAATATGCTAAATGTTATTTGATCTAGCTTGATCTATTTAAATCCCACTCAGTCTTCTCTATTTATGTCTGATATGATTTGATTTGGAAAATGAGACTGAAATTACTCCAATTAAAAACCTTCTCAATCCTACCTATTGTAGTCATAAGCATAGAGTCTAACTGCTATAATGGCTTATTGGCATTATTAGCCAATTTTTTACCAAACATATATAAGGTTTAATTTTTTGCATTGAAATTGTGTTACACTCAAAATAAGTAAGATCACAATTACTTTTTTGACTGAATTGCCAGAATTTGTTAAAGATAAATATTTTAACTATTGTTCATACGAAGTATAATTTTTTTTTAACTAAAGTAAGCTACAGAAAGTCTGGAAGGGTGGTCGGGTGAAGGCAGGAAATGGAATGTTACAATTTCTTTTTAGTTATTTGCTTTTCTTTTGTTTGTTTGGATATTGTTTTGACTTTACACTATTGAGATCTTGGCCTCAACTCTCAACGGATAGTAGGAAGAAATATCTACTTGACATCTTCCCTTCTTGTTTCACTTCGATTTCTTCCTCTCGTTTTCAAATCACATACATTCAAACGTACGTAGTATTTCATGTAAGTAACATAACACAAAAGTTTTACGTAATAGAATTATCACTCATGGATGAAAAGTGATATAGACAAAACTGAGAAGATCATTAAAAAAAAGCATCATATTCATAATAATTATACATTGACACTCCATTTATAAGACTCGTCTGCATGACTGCATCGACCTAACGTTTAACTAAGAAGATGTAAATTAAATTTTAATTACAAGTTGACAGATAGCTAATGAGGCTATAATATATTTGTAGGTCAATGTTTCTATTGTTGTGGACCTATGATATTTCTAAACGAAGTGTTGTAATTAAAGTTATTAATTCTATTTATATGCTTGAGAAATGTTGTCAATAAAGCTATATATTCATATTTATTGTCTATTAATTTCAAATACATTCTAAGTTTTGTTAAAAAATGTAGGGAAAATTGTCAATTAAGTCATACTATTTCAAAAATATCAATTAAGTCCATTACTTCAAAATCATTCAATTGATCCTCAAACTCTTCTAAAATGTTCAATTCAACTATTTATCCGGCAAACATCAATTTCTTTGGTTCATTGCCTACCTCGACTGCCTGTGGTTTATTTTTATTCTGTAGTTCATCCTTTCCAAGTCGTTACCCTTTTTCTTTAATTGTTTTTCCTCTTTCTTTCTTGGTCGCAAGGTTCTTCTGCATCTCCGTGGCCTCCAACTTCACCCACAAAATGCTCTGTCTCTACTCTCCACCTTCCTCCTTCCTCCTCCCTTCTCTATACCCATTTATTATCAATCTTCTTCACGGACTTTGATCATAGCAACAAATCTTCGTCGCGATCGTCATTACAAGCCCTGCCGTCGTTGCTCGCCGGATGGATGCCTTCGCCCGGATGCTCCTATGATTCGTCCCCTTGTTCAAGTATGAGCTTTCCCTTCAATTCCTGATTGTAATGTACCCCATATTCTTTAATTTCATTGAATCGGATGGATGGTTATGAAGAAGTCTCCTTCCCTCATTTTTCTTCCAATTCAACTGAAACATGATGTCAGTGAATAAGTTGTGTTCCATGGAAGAAAATTACAGAGAGGGAGATGTGTGTCAAAATTGGTAATATAGGTGCTCTGGAACATAGATGCGTATGAACATTTTTGGAGAAGATGAACAATATCAAGGGATTTAAGTTGACTAGTGTCTATCAGCCAGAAAAGAAAAAAAAATATGCCACGGGGATGTATACGTCAGCAATGCAACTACCGGCAAAATGGAGAAGTAACCGGCTAAAAAGGGAAATTGAGTGTTTTATTATAGTTTAGAGATTTGATCGAGTGTTTCGAAAAGATAGATTCTATGGTACCGAAAAGGTACCATAACTTTGTCCACTTGGACCAATCAGAATGTTGCAGTTGAATTATTTAAATCTAAATTAAAAATGATATACTGATTTGGACCAATCGTGAGTGGTAGGTAGGGTACCCCGTTTTCTAAATGGGTGCCGGAGTTGCACCGTACGAGAATCCGAATGACTTTTTCTTTATAGTACGGGGACCTATTTGGCAGTTTTCCCAAAAATGGATGAAGTTTAATTTATAAGATTAGTTTTATTTTCTATGTTTATAATTTATTTGTCAAAATCAAATATGATTGCAAATAATTTTCCTTTACTGATTTATTATGATATATAATTGTATACCCTGGACAATAATTCATGTTTTCATTTTTAGTAAATCTTAACCGATATACGAAGTACTACCTCCGTCCCGTTGGAAGGTTCTCATAGCAAAACGACTTGATTATTTAGACAATAATTAAATAAAGTACTTCGAATATATTTTGAGAAATAAATTTTCATATGTACAAGTATATATTATAATGTACTACCTCCATCCCACTCAGAGGTGGATCTGGCTATGGTCCAGGTAGGGCCTAGGCCCAACCTCAAAAAAAATTACTAGTATATATATGTATTATACTATATGAGTAAATGTAGTGTTGTTAAATAAGGTATAATAACAAAGAAAGTATAAAAAAACATGAATTCTGTATTAGCAAGATGGAAGTATACTACTGTATTGGCTTGCATGTCCTTAGTTCGAATCGCAGGTGCAACATTTCTTTTTAACTTTTCAATGGTAGAGCATGGTGTGTAAACATTTCATTTTTTTTACTTCTAAAAACTCTTTGTCTCACATTGGAAAAATAAAAGGATTATTTCCTTCAAACATATATATTTAAACTTGGTCTCCTAAGTTTAGTTAATACAAGCTTAACACCCATCTCAAACGATGAATGAGCTAAATAGTAATATCGTGAACGCTATTGGGCTTTTGAATATTAGTCTGAAAAATTAATTTGTTCAATTCATTGGGCTTGGTAGGTGAAAATTAGTTTTAAATGTATGCATTTGATGTGTTTTTGTATTCAACAAAAAGTCTTATTCCTGTTATATTTATTTTTTTCTTTGACATTTATGTTGCAAAAGATTTTATTTTATACATAGTATTTGAAAATAAATTTTGTTAAATAACATACTAGTACTATTTTACTACGTTTCGACTTTTTTTTTTTTTGCAATATACATTGTTTAATCAAATTTTGGCCACACCTGATTGAAAATGCTGGATCCGCTCCTGATCCCACTATATTTGGGACAAAGGGGTGTGGCAGAACTTTTAAGAAAAAGTGGAATTGTGTTGTTAGTATTGAATTGATAAAGTGTGAATAAAGTAAGAATGAATGGTAACCACCCAAATATTGCCAAATATGGTATGCGACAAACTTAATGAGACAGACGAAAATGGTAAAACGGGACAAAGTTATGGGGACGGAGGGAGTAGTTAGTATTGATAACTGTAATGTAATAAATGTATTATTTTTAATATTTAATGATTAATTTGTCACTTAACCTTGTTAATTATTTCCTAAAATGGAAATGAGAATCTTTATAAGGGACGTCCAGAAAAAGAAAGTGGGAACGTTCTAATAGGATGGAGCTGTATATATAATCTTAGCCCGT